CCCCCTCCCACCCCAGCTGTCCCCATTCCCCGCCCACTGCACACTGTTCGGGGGTGGTCGTGGTGGAGGTGGCGGTGGGGCGGCCATTATGCTGCGACTGCCACCACACGCGTCACAAGCACCTCTGCATAATTGGATTAGGTCAATTGGGGGAACACGGTGGTAGGGCTGACAAAACAGCCCCGAAAACGGACAGCGTGTTTGGCTTCTCTTTGCAAACACACACGCACACGCACGCACGCACACATTTGTGCTGGTTTGACAAGCGTCGTCGTGGGAGGCGAGTCGCGGCAGAGCGCGTGTGTTGTGCGGTAGGCGAGCAGAGTGGTGGAAGAAGAGGCGTTTTTCACCAGCCCACAACGACGACGACGACGACGACGAAACCGCCTCTTTCCCTGACCTCTCAGTTTGCCGCGGTGGTTCTCCAGACACACCGACCACCCTCTGTCCGATTGGTAGAAGTGCCAGCTACCTCGTCTTTTTTCCTGGACAGTCGACGTGCGTACACGTCAGCCACAAGTTTGGTCATCCCAACAAACATAAAAAACCAAGTTTTCCGCCAGATTTGCCATCGCCAATATGCATGACTTCCTAACTGGTGGTGTTGAGTGTTGAGTGTAGCGTGGAATGAAGCGTTTTCGGTTGACGTGGTCGCCGCGACGTCCAACAAGTTGCACTTCCGTGTCGTGTTGGTGTTGCTTTGAGAGGATCGGAAACGCGTAACGAGATACTCAGCAGGTTGTGACACACAGTGACTTTTCCCAACTCACTTCACTCGAATCCCCAATAATCCACTTCGTCTTCATCCAACCACCGAGAGGAGGAGCATTGCGCGGAGTCGTGTGAGAGCCGCCGTTGTGTCAGCCAGTTGGTGCAAACTCGGCCATCGTCTGCAATTCGCCACAACCTCGGTCCACCTTGGCCGACCCTGGCGAAGCGCCAACTCCAGCCTCTCCCACCGACGCCTTCGTCGTAGTTGGCATCACCTCGGTGTCTGTGAGGCTGCAGCAGTTTGTGACGTGACGTTCGTCCAATCATTCAACACGCCCTCAAACTGTTGACCAACAAGTCTGTTCCACCTGCCGATCGACCCCACAGTCGTTTTCCCATCTCCTCAAAGCGCGCCTTTCGATCTGTCATTTCCATCACTGTTTGAAGGCCGAATCGTGTGTTGGCGTAGTTAGGCTTCGTCTGCTAGCTCACGGAAAAAAGGAATCGTGGCAAGCGACAAGTCTGCAGTGGAAGCCACGGCTGATTCCTCCAAGTTTTGTATTCTAACCAATCTGTCGCTCTGCGATCCAAGTCCGTAATTAGCGAGGTGTTTGACTTGGAATACGCCAAGTGTAATCAGTTTGTATGATGCTTTTTCCCCAAATACACTCACATTTGGTGGCCAGCAGGTGGCGTTTATGCCTGACCAAACATTCTTGCAGCATAACTGAAATCGACAATGACTGATAACAACTAAGTCCTGCCACATCACGATGGCATTTTTTTTCTTTCTGACTGCCTTATTAATGATTCCCACGAATCACAATCCTGGCGCTTGTTAATTACTGCTGTCAGTTGGCACGCAAATTACCCTCGAGGTAGAAAAGAAAAGCAAACAGAAAGAGCAGATTCCGAGTGAAGTGGAGGAGCACAAATTGGCGACCTCGAATTGTCCGGTCCATTTAGGGTGCATTTGGCCGCAATACAGCTTCACCACGACACGCCTTCTGCGGTAGATCCAGCAGAATCGTTATTTGAATTCGGAAAACTTCTGCCTCGTAGGAGATTTCTTTATGCAGCGTTCAACGTTTGATCAGCCGAAAGTCGTCGTATTTTAGGCCTTATCACAAGGCAGTCAGCCAAAATCTTTGTCTAGAACCGTCGTAGGCAAGATACGAGCATGTTTTGAGTTTTTTTTACCTCAACGAGGACTCACCGCCCATTCCGTCGGCATAAGTGGGCGTGGAGTGAATCGTGTTGATTTACGTCCACAGACTTTGTCGCCTGCCTCACCACTGCATGCCGGGCTGTCTGTCCACGCAGCCCTGTGCCCGCACCCTCCCCCTCAACCGCAATCCCATTTACTCCTCTGATTATTCAGCCAATTGTACTTTTACAAGGTCACCCCGACTGTAGGGGTCAGATATCGCATTAGTCAGGCGCTCACTTTTGAATACACGCACACGACAACACCGCAAGTAGGTTGCGGTGTCAAGTAAACAACGGTCGCCGACACTGCAAAGCGTTCGGCTTAAGTCCTCCTACATGACACGGTGTGGGCATTTTGCACAACGCTTGCTGATTGGTTACTTGCTAGTGAAAACTGTCACCAAAACCGTCCAGTTTGGGTCGAAATTCATGCCAAGGTGTTTCGAGTCCTTTTTGCAGTTCTTACAACGCACGGGATCGGTTCAAAAGAAACAGTACACCGCAGTCAAACTCAGTGTCAGTTAATTTCAGTTGCAAGGTCGGTTGTGATGTGGCGCAGCTGGCTTCATTAAATACTACTTAAAACCTCAAGTTTGGCCGACGTGGAACTCCGAGAGCATGGCGAATGGAAGCCTCATTCAGAACGAGGCTGTATCGAGGGAAACTAGCCGAACTAAGTGAATAAGGAACAATCCACCCTCAAAGAACTAGAATCTGGTCGAAATTTGGGATTCACACGAGAACATTACCAAGTGTCGAGTTTGTTTAGGATTAAGAGTAACCGGCTAGGAGTGATCAATGCATTTTAGTAATTTGCATCTGGGCTCAATAATCAGCCCAAAAGTTATCGATCGTGTGGCATGATCTAGCTGAGCGAATGGACGGACGAAGAAGCTAACGTCACTGCACCCACTAATTCAGCCAATCAAAAAGGTGCTATTCTCACACCGTCAAAAGTACGTCTGTCGTTTTTGCTGTGGTTGCATTAGGAGGAGAAGGGATAAAACTGTCAACGTAACTGCTCTTCCCATGGTTTGGTTTTCACCCAAGCCAAAATTGCTGTTTTGGCTCGGCCAATTTGATCCGCTGTCCATTTTGTTGAGTTGACGCAAGCAGCCGAAACGGCTGTAAACGATTCTTTCGCTCACAAGGCGAGAACACACCGTCTGACCGTCACCAGTGACACCGACCTTGGTTGTTGTTTTAATGGTCTAACGCGTCCACCGGCGGCTACTTTAAATCTGCACCATCCAGCTAGCGGTGATTGATGTAAACAATGAGCGCGAAATTATTTTGTTGACATAAGCTATTGATAATGCAATTTTTTTCATTTGCATAACACGTACGGTCTAGCTCAGCCTGAATTAATTATTTGTTTAATGAAGTTGACATCGGTGTGTTTATTCCAACGGTACCACCTAATCTTCCGTAAACCGGGTGCTATTTATAGTCCTAACTCGGTGGACTACGAATAAATCAGGAGGCAACGAATTCGTAGAGAGGTGTGAATTACGTGAGGAATGTCAAAACGGAGGAATTATGAAGGCGGCTAAATAGAACGTCCTAGTTATTCACCCCTTAGTTCAAGATAGGATGCGTGACTAAGTCCAACGGTGACATTAGAGAAACGAATATTTAAGTAATTGTGTCGTGAGGCTGACTCAGTCACACAGGGTTTGCAGGAAGGATGGGGGGAGGGAAACTGCCGAACCTCCCCCTCCCCTCCTCCCACGACCTACCACACGCAGTTTCGGCCTAATTAGAGTATTTATTTCGCCTAGGCAAGAAAAGAGGAGCGTGTCGCATTCGTAACACTGAGACCGGTTTTTTTTTAAATGCACCATAGTTATCATTGTCGCCGGAATTATGACCTATAAAAATGGACCAATAGGCGACAGCACCCAGGGTCACGTCACGTCTCAAAAAGGACCAATTGTAATTAGGTTGTCAGCAAGCAAAAGCGACTGTAAAACCAGCTATTTTTTGAGTTTCCACATTCATTATCTTTGCCTGGCAAGTTTAGCCTGAATAAGCAATACCGAAGGCTAAAATTCACCGATTACAGATGCAAATTTGACCTTAAGACGGGCCAAGTAAGTCTTATTTTGAAGAAGGAAAGATGGGTATTAAACGCTACATCGCAAGAAACATCTTCCAGCGGACAAACACTACAATTGATTAAACCGGCGGAAAATCACGTGGGATTTTTTGAGCGCGTAAAACACAAACCGCACGCAATCTGACCGCGGCATCACTTGAGAGAAGAACAGTCTTAGCTCCAAATTCACATCATTAACTAGAACTAGGCAGGAGTGAAATGTGCGGACGCGTAGTCGACTTGAGCAGTGATAATCGACTAGTGGAACTACGAGCACCGCCAAAATATATTGATTGCCATTCCGAAAATTGAAGCCTTCTTGATGGAGTTAAGAGGCCCACAATCTGATTTACATTGTTATATTGACTGCGCTGCAATTGTAAACTAAAAAAAACCTTTGGAAGTCAATCGATACGGGATTGGCTCCATTTCGCCAGTTCCTTTGACTTCCCACCCTACTAACCATCTAACGCAAATAAACACGTTGCGTGCAGAGACAGACAAAACACGCTTTCACAGATCACCCGCCACACGTGCTCGAAACCAACCCCACGAATGGACCAGCAACTTTGTCACGGACGGATTTTGATGAGTTCACTGGTCTCACACACGGCCAATCACATCGCCGCCCACACACACACACACCCACATAATCACACATCAAGCCCAGCTGGTGATTGGGCATTTTGATGAGTTTTGAGTGGGCTGAAGAGGGATTTATTTGGGTTGACAAGATGAACCATGGTTTCTGAGGCAACCGGTGGTGAAATTTATCGATCGGCCAATGCACTAGGAAAGTTTGCTGGAGGGCCAAGTTCGAGTCCCGAAGACGTTGCTGCGTTGGAAGAGTTTTGCAACATGACAGTCTGTTAAAACAAGGCAGCGCTTCTTCTACCACACGCAGTTTCGGAAGTAAGCTCTTCTTCGACGTACTGCAGACGCACCAAAATCTCTTTCAAACAAGGCTGACGGTGTCCTGGTGAGTTGCACAAACAAACACATTGGGTGCCACAACTTCCGCCCACAAACACCTGAATCGTCAGTGTGTTAACGGAGTAAACACACAGACTTGCTAAAAGTGCAACACCCTCCAGACTGTGAAAACTCTGGTACAATCGTTCGGTGAATTGTGTGGGTGCCCTAGTGAGAGTTGACATTTCACCGATTTGTAAGGGTCCAAACTGTTAGACACTGAAAAACGGAGTTCAAAGAGGCTGGTAAGTTACACCACCAGCGTGCACAACCGTATCGCAGGCTCAATTTGGAACAAGAAACGCTACTCCTGACGGTGAGGTGATGTCGCTGCCGGTAAAGATGTTGGTTATTATCGATTGCACCAATACACGTGCACACAGCGACCTTGCACTCCAAATCAAACTAGTGTGCTTCAAGCCACCACACATCGACCTTGACCCCGGTTCTGACTCTTTGTTCATTGAAATCAACACATTAGTCGAGTTTGGACAATTTTTGTGCCCTTTTGCTCACAGCACAGGCACACCTTGGCCTCTGAACCTCTCCTTTGGTCATTACACCAACACACAGGTCGACCTCGAACCCGATTTCTGTGTTTTCGTTCGCCGCACAAACACACACACACACACATTGACCACTACTCCGCCTAGTTGATAGCACCAACACATAACTTGACCCCCAATCAAGAGTTAGAAAAACTGCGGCCCGGTTAGGCCTGAGATTGCCGGCGTAACCGTCCCAATTGGAGAGAAATTCACAAAAAAATGGGAGGAAGTTGAAAGTGCGCCGAGTTGAGTAAAGAAAAAAAAGTACATCAGCATTCAGGTAGAATGTGTTCTGTGAGTTTAAACAGTTCATAATGGGATCGATTTCGACTCGAACCGACACGTTCACCCGTAATCCCTCGCCTCAAATCAGTGATTGGTTCCCACGCCGATCCGATATCAAGGTCACACAATCACCACATAAATATACCCGGAGGATGCGTTGGCAGTCGTGTACGCCTCTACGTGCTGTCAATCACTTAGGTGGACTGTCTAGCTATTATTACCACTAGTTTTTAGAATAGCAAATTTTGTGATCTACGCCAAACAGCAATCTGAACGCCGGTGATTTCAGCAAAGTTTAACAAGAACTCCCGAACAAGATTTGGCCGAAAGAGAAGCCTCCACCTCAAGAAATCGATAATATGAGAGGAGCAACTACTGAACCAGTATGCGACCCGTCGCCACGAGCAACTCGACAGAGCGACGCGACATTGAGCCTATCTACATCTCATTTTAACCCCAGGAGGTCTTCCCACAGCTCCAGCATGCACGCATGCAATGAGGAGAAGCTGGAATATGGCGGCGATGAAGGACAACAGACGAGACGGCCGGGGGGTCATGCCTACGAACCCGTTGTGGCGTTGGTGTGGGTACACTCCACCTGGAATTTGAGGTCCTCGGCTCGCTCGCTGGTGTTGCACCGGCCCCCCGGTGGTCTGGGCACGTGGTCGACGAACGGAGTGCTCTGGATCGTCACGACCTGAAGGACAAATTTGACAACACATACACACATTTTAAATCCGGTTGGTGGTTAATGAAGACGTTTGCGGTGCAAGGAGGCTTGAACACAGCCCCCCGGGGGATGTGAGCGCGCCAACGGTTGCACGGTGAATTGAATAAATTACTGCGACGGGTGTGCTTCACTGGTGGTCCACAACACACACACACACGACCTAGAAATTGGCATCTGCATAAATTACTTTTGTGTCGGTGAAAACAGAATCGTGCTAATTAGACTAAAAAAGGCTAGAGGCCAGACTGAGGAGGCATTCAATTCGCAAATTAAGGCCTCGAAGCTAATGGAAGAGACCGTTAGACAGACGACGGTCATTGTCGACTTCAGTTATGATGCAAGCATGCTTGGTGAGGTACAAGAGACACCTGCTGGCCACCAAATGTGAGTCTATCTGGGAAAAAAAAGCACCACACAAACTGACTAAACTTGGTGGATTCCAAGTCAAACACTTCGCTAATTACGGCCATGGATCGCAGAGCGACAGATTGGCTAGAATACAAAACTTGGAGGAATCAGCCGTGGCTTCCACTGCAGACTTGTCGCTTGCCACGATTCCTTTTTTTCCGTGAGCTAGCAGGCGAAGCCTAACTGCGCCAACAAACGATTCGGCCTTCAAACAGTGATGGAAATGCCAGATTGAAAGAAGCGTGCTTTGAGGAGATGGGAAAACGACTGTGGGGTCGATCGGCAGGTGGAACAGACTTGTTGGTCAACAGTTTGAGGGCGTGT